TCTTGGTATAGACAAGTGAGTGCTTGCAGTGTTGCATCTGTTTGTTGAAACATCTCAGTTGGTATTGTCAATTCCTGGAGTCTTGCTTTTCGCCAATGCCTTCAGTTCAGCTTGAACTTCTTCCTTCAGTACCATTGGTTCTCGATCCTATGCCACCCCCTGAAATGGTTGAACATTGACCAATTCTTTTTGGTAGAGTGACTCTGTGTATTCCTTCCATCTTCTTTTAATACTTCCTGCATCCTTCAATATTTTTTCCATAGAATCCTTCAGTATTGCAACTCGAGGCTTGAATTTTTTTCTTCTTCTTTCAGCTTGAGAAATGCTGAGCATGTTCTTCCTTTTGTGTTTCTAACTCCAGGTCTCTGCACATTTCATTATAATACTTCACTTTGTCTTCTCGAGCCACCCTTTGAAATGTGTTCAGCTCTTTTACTTCCTCATTTTTTCCATTTGCTTTAGCTACTCTACATTCAAACAGCAACTTTCAGAGTCTCTTCTGACATCCATTTTGGTCTTTTCTTTCTTTCCTATCTTTTTAGTAACCTTTCGCTTTCTTCATGTATGATGTCCTTGATGTCATTCCGCAACTCTTCTGGTCTTCGGTCGTTAGTGTTTAATATGTCAAATCTGTTCTTGAGATGGTCTCTAAATTCAGGTGGGATATACTCAAGGTCGTACTTTGACTGCCATGGACTTGTTCTAATTTTCTTTAGCTTCAACTTGAACTTGCATATGAGCAATTGATGGTCTGTTCCAGAGTTGGCCCCTGGCCTTGCTTTGACTGATGATATTGAGCTTCTCCATCATCTCTTTCCACAGATGTAGTTGATTGGATTCCTGTGTGTTCCATCTGGTGAGGTCCACATGTATAATTGTCACTGATGTTGTTGAAAAAAGATATTTCGGATGAATAAGTCGTTGGTCTTGCAAAAGTCTATCATGCAATCTCTGGTGTCATTTCTATCACCTTCTTCCTTGTCCTTAGTCTGGAAGCTCAGCTGAAACCTGTCCGCCATGGGTGACCCTGCTGGTATTTGAATACCGGTGGCATAGCTTTCAGCATCACAGCAACACAAAAGCCCCCACAGTACAACAAACTGACAGACGCATGGGATATATATGTATATATATATATATATACACATTTAGATCAGTGTCTAGAATTTAGTAAGCATGCAATAAATGTAAACTAATATTAATCCCTGGAGAAGGACATCATGCTTGGTAAAGTAAAAGGTCAACAAAAAAGAGGAAGACCCTCAGCAAGATGGATTGACACAGTTGCTGCTACAATGGGCTCAAGCATAACAACGATTATGAGGGTGGTACAGGACCGGGTAATGTTTCTTTCTGTTGTTCATAGGGTAACTATGAGTCAGAACCGACAATACAGCACCTAAATTTGTGATAAATTTGAAAAACAAAACAAAACTACTAACCTTGGTACCTCCATCCCCTGCTAGTCAACAGAGATCAGTACACCACAATCTACATGAAACCAAAAATAAAACCAAACCCGTTGCCATCAAGTCGGTTTCCATGGAGCGCCTGGTAGATTCGAACTGCTGACCTTTTAGTTAGCAGCCATAGCTCTTAACCACTACACCACCAAGGTTTCAATCTACATGAGGAAGCCAAATAAATGCTTCATTGAAGTAAGGAAAGACTTTTAGTGTTGGAAGAAACATCAATGCTCAACTTCAAAAATTTTTTGCAAGATCGTGTTGAGGAAAATCAATCAGCATGAAATTAAGCAATTGGTGAGAAGCATATGAAGACAAAATAAATCAAGTATCTTATGGAAATTAATTAAATAATAAATACATTTAAAATGTCTAAAACAATTTAAAATACAGAAGAACATTTTAAATCACAGTGATCTCAAGCAGAGACCTTGATAATTCATGGTGCAATAGAGCACAATCATGCAATTTGCTCACTAAATGACCAAGTACACATTTCAAGTTCTACCTTAATAGTGGGAAGAGGTATAAAACTTCCTATTTGCAGATTGGAGCCCTGGTGGCGCAGTGGTTAAGCGTTCTGCTGCTAACCAAAAGATCGGCAGTTCAAATTCACCAGTGGCTCCTTGGAAATCTTATGGGGCAGTTCTACTCTGTCCTGTAAGATCACTATGAGTTGGAATCAACTCGATGGCAGTGAGTGAGTGGTATGAAGTGAATTTGCAGATTACATAATAATAATGTTATTGCTTATCGAGTGCTTACTACACATCAAGTGCTTTACATATATCATCTCTTTTTTCTTTTTAAAATAAAAATATTCGAACACAGAAAAAAGAATATGTAGGATAATATAAACATCCGTATATATATCACCAAGTTTAACATTTAACATTTTCTATGTTTTTATTTTTCTGAAATATTTAAAAACATAGATATCAAACAATTCACCCTTAAATGTCAGTATGCATGTCTAAAAAATAAATACAGTTTTCTACATAAGCATAATACCATTATCACACCTAATAAAATAACAATGATTGTCTAATATCAGTTAATACCCCAGTTCGTATTGAAATTTCTCTAATTATCCCCCAAATATGTTTTATATCTGATTTATTAAACCAGCATCAACCAAGGATAAAACACCGCATCTGGCTATTATGTCTCTTAAATTTCTTTTAATTTAGAACAAGCCTTCCCTCAGCCCTGCCCCCCGCCTTTTTATGCCAATGATTTATTTAGGAGACTGGGTCATATGTTCCACAGGATATCCTACCTTCTGGATTTTTCTCATTGTTTCTTCTTGGCGTCATTTTATTCTTCTGACTTTGTAATTCCTGAAACAGGAAGATAGATTTAAAGGCTTGAGTATAATGAGGTTAAAGATTTTTTGGAAACAATACTTTACAGAGGGTTCTGGTGCCTCATATGGCATCACGTCAGAAGTCACATAATGTCAGGTTGGTCCATTTCTAATGATGGCAAGATTGATCTGGGTTAAGGTGAGAAGGGCCAGATTCTCTATTGTCAAGTTATATTTTCCTCCTGATGACCATCAAGTAATCTGTGGGGAGATAATCTGGTACCATGTGAATATGCTGCTCCCTAGCACCGTTCCTCCCAGTAGTTTTAGTAGCCATTGATGATCTGGCATGAATTAGTTATTTCGTTAAAAACAAGCAAACCATCTAGGGACTCCTAGTTATTTCATTTGTTGTTGTCAGGTGCTGACGAGTCGACTTCAACTTACCATGACCCATGTGACAAAGTAGAACTGCCCCATAGGGCTTCCTAGGCTATAATCTTTAGGAGCCCTGGTTGCACAGTGGTTAAAGCACTTGGCTGCTAACCAAAAGGTAGGCCAGCCACTCCTTGGGAGAAAGATATGGCAATCTGCTCCCATAGTTGGAAACCCTATGGGGCAGTTCTATTCTGTCCTATAGGGTCAGTTTGGCTGCTAACCCCAAGGTCGGCAGTTTGAATCCAACAGGTGCTCCTTGGAAACCCTAGGGGGCAGTTTTACTGTGTCCTATAGGGTCACTATGAGTCAGAATCGACTGGATGGCAACGGGTTTGGTTTTTTGATTATGCGAATCAACTCCACAGCACACAACAACAGTTAATTTTATCTTTTCTTTTACATTGACGTTTTTCTCCTAATAATATTAACAAAATTATTATTTTAATCCTCACACCAACCCGTAGGGTAGGTACTTGTGATCATAACTTATGATTCCCATTTTAAAAGGAGGAGACAGAGACAAGAGGTTCCCCAAGGCTGCACAGTCAATAAACAGCAGTGTCAGGATTTGAAACCTGGCATGATACTTCCAAGGGTTTCATTTTACTTGGATCCACAATCAACGTCCATGGAAACAGCGGTCAAGAAATCAAACAACATACTGCATTGGGCAAATCTGCTGCAAAAGACTTCTTTAAAGTGCTAAAAAGGAAAGATGTCACTTTAAGGACTAAGGTGTGCCTGAAACAAGCCATGGTGTTTTCAATTGCCTCATACGCACACAAAAGCTGGACAATTAATAAGGAAGATCAAAGAAGAATTGACCCCTTTGAATTATGGTGTTGGCGAAGAATATTGAATATACCATCGACTGCCAGAAAAATGAACAAATCTGTCCTGGAAGAAGAGCAACCAGAATGCTCCTTAGAAGCAAGCATGGCGGGACTTTTCTCACATACTTTGAACATGTTATCAGGAGGAACTAGTCCCTGGAGGACATCACGCTTGTTAGAGGGTCAGCGAAAAAGAGGAAGACCTTCAACGAGATGGACTGACACAGTGGCTGCAACAATGCGCTCAAGCATAATAAGTGTGAGGATGGCCCAGGACAGGGCAGTGTTTCGTTCTGTGTACATAGGGTCACTATGAATCGGAAGCGACTCGACGGCACCTAACAACATAACATTTCCACTAGGGAAAGCATTCAGAGAAGCTTCTCCAGGAAGCGTAGAGTCCTTGGAAAAGTATGAGGGAGATGAACAGGGCTTGGGGTGCGGGGAACAGACCCATTCCAAAGTAACTCCTTAAGAGGAGTGGGCGGGACGGGGCGAGCTGTGGTGTCATGGAACCGTCGGGGAAGTGGCCAGGGCTGGTGCTGCTACTCAGATCTGACCAGCGGTCCTAAGGCAAAGGAGAGAAAACCAGTTTCCGAGCCTCGCTACGCTACCCTCAGGCGGAGCCCATAGAACCTGCTCACAGCTGTCCCGGCACTGGCGTCCTCCAACCCCACCTCAGCGTAGTGCCCGCCCACTAGCCAATTAGAGGAAGTCACGAGCAAGGGGGCGGTACAATAGAGGAGCGTGTCCAATGAGGAGCCAGCCGGGGGTCGCTTCCGGAAAGCGAATTTCAAAGTCCGAATGTAGGGAGGAGAGGAGGATGAGGGATTTGGCCAATCAAGGGGTGCAGTTTACGTCGGCCGAGTGTGGCAGCCAATAAGGTGATAGCTCGCTCCCTCACTTGCCCGCCTCGTGCTATCTGCTTTTCGCCAGAGTAGGGAAGCGGTTCAGGCCGCTGGGTCGGGGTCAGCAAGTGCGTTTGTGGGCTCGTTACAAGTCTGCTTTCGACTGCTGGGGTCGTGCCAGCAGCTGGTGGAATATGGCGAACTCTGGCTATGGAAACTGCAGTGACCATGAGGAGAACAGTTTTCTATACTTCGCCTATGGCAGCAACCTGCTGAAAGAGAGGATCCACCTCCAAAACCCCTCGGCCGCGTTCTGCTGCGTGGCCTGCCTCCAGGTCAGTGCTCCTCCACCGGCCCTCCAGAACGTCGTGCCCCGTTTACAGACAAAAGAAAAAAACAAACGGGTTGCCGTGAGGTCGGTTCTGACCCATAGCGACCCCATAGGATAGGGTAGAACTGTCCCATAGGGCGTCCAAAGCTGTCATCTTTACGGAAGCAGATCGCCAGGTCTTTCTCCCGTGGAGCCGCTGGGTGAGTTCAAATCACTGACCGTTCGGTTAGCAGAGCGCTTAACCACTGCGCCACCAGGGCTCCTGTTTACAGACGAGTGAGCCAGAATTCGGAGAAGTCTCTTTACCAGGGCCACTCTTCAGCAGAACTGGCCCAGTAATCCAGTTCTTCCTTTTTTTAAAAAAAATTATTTTTTGTTGTTGAGAATATACACAGCAGAACATTCACTGATTCAACAATTTCTACATGTATAATTCAGTAACATTGATTACATTTTTCAAGTTGTGCAACTATTCTCACCCTCCTTTTCTGAATTTTTCCTCCACCATTAACATAAACACATTGCTCCCTAAGTTTCCTATCTAATCTTTCATCAGTTCTTGATAAGAGTACATCAGGGTTCTCATGGGCAAATTGATTTCCTCCACTTCCTTTCATTAACCCTACACTGAACTTATACTCAACTATGCTACCCCAGCAACTGTGCTCTCTTAGATTGCTATGAGCTTCCCCCCTTTTAATGTGTGTACACGTTCTGCACGTAAGTTTAATGTTATGCACAGATTTGACTTTCTGTCTCTTGTCCACTATTTGATGGGCATCCTCACAGAATCCATCCAGTTCGTACCTCTGACAAACCTTCTCTGACACAAGTTGAGAAATTTTTTGCTTTGCATTCTGTACATACCTTTGTTACAGGACTTGTCACTTGTTACCCAGGTTACACCCCACGCTAGGACTGGTTATCTATTGCTAGATCCAATAGACAGATTTCATTTCTGGTCTAATTCTACCTCTCAGCAGCTTCTGTCCCACCTTCTTCTTACCTGTCACTCGTAAAAATCTGTTTAGCTTTCTTTTGCTCCTGATCTAGGAGATTCTGAAAGTTGGAACCATGTTTTATTCATAGTAACCACTGTGCTCAGTTAGTCAAGTGACTGGGTGAACAGTAACCTTCCTCGGTAAATCATTGCTCTTCAGTATGTTCCATTTGTTCATTTACCACTTGCCTGGAGGTGCAAAGATGATTGAGTAAAGTTGCTGCTTTGAGGACCTCCCAGTCTATTAGGAGAGACATGCAAACAAATTATGTGCAAATTTTTTTGACAGTGTTGAACTAGACAAACATGGTCTCTGCCATACTTGTCAGTGTTCTTAGTAACAAGCAGCAGAAACTGGCTGATTTAAGCAGAAAAAGAATGTGCTGAAAGGCTGTTGGAGAGTTCACAGAATGACCAAGAAGGCAGAAGCAGAGAGCTGACAAAGGAGGCAGGCATAAAGGGAGGCACATGAACTATAATACAGCTGGCATCACACAGCAGAACAAGCCCAGGGAGCTGCTGCTGCACCACTGCTGGGCTTGGACGCTGCATTGTGCAACACCAACACGGCCTGCACTGGAGCCTGCCTGCCACTAGCAGTATACCCCTGCAGTCCCTGAAACCCAGATGTGGCCACCACCACCAGGGTGGAGTCCCTACTGTCCTTTTGGCACTAGCTTCTAATTCAGAGCCCCAAGCAGGTGTCCTCATTGGCTAAATCACAGCCATATGCCCATGCCCTGGCTGCAAGTGAAAATGGGAGAACCAACTTCCTGTCTTTGGAGCTTCTAAAATGGGAGATGAGTTTTGACAGTCCCTAATGCCTAGACTCATTAGGTGGGGAATCCCCCAAAGTAGGGAGTTCAGATGCTTGTAGTCTAGGGTGAGGAGGGGAGAAGAGATATCACACAAATGATTATACAGTTACAGGTATGGTCAGTCTTTGAAAGGAGACCTGAAAAATGCTATGGGAGTGTATGACTGGGGGACCTGACTTAACCGGGATGCTCAGAAAATGTGACTTTTAAGCCAAGACTTGAATGATTGTGGGGGCGAGGGGCAAACAAAACGAAGGGAACAGCATGTGCAAAGGACCTGAAAAAGGAAGAAGCTGGATCTTCCAGCCAGTGTGGCTGCAGTTTAGTGAGGGGGATGTGGCCGAGGAAGACTGGATTTTAACTCTAGACCTACTGCAGAATTTAAGAAAATAAAAGATTAGATTTACGTCTTTGAAAGCGCATTCTAGTTGCTATGGAGAATGAATTGGAAGGGGGTCAAGGGTAAATTTGGGGATCCCAGTTAGGAAACTTTTGAAGTAGTCCATACTGGAGATAATGGCATCTGAACTAGGATGGAGTCAGGGTTTGAGAGAGATTTAGGAGATAACATTGTTAAGGCTTGGTGATTGAGGGAGGGAGGAGGAGATAACAAGGATATCAAGATATCAAAGATCTCAAGGCTTTTGTTACAACATGAGGGATGATGGTAATGTTTACTGAGAGAAGAGGAGAATCAGGTTTGGGAGGGAAAATTATAAGTTCAGTTTGAAATACCGAGTTTGAGATGCTTGTGAGACGTCCAAGCAATCAGAAAAATATTAACATTTATTAAGTACTTACTATGTGTTAGGCTCCGTTCTAAGCACTTTTGAAGCTCAGAAGAGAGATCTAGGCTGGATTTAAAGATGACCAGAGTATTAGATGGTGTTTGAAGCCATTGGAGGGGATGAGATTGTCTTGGACAAATTGCTGAATTAACAGAGAAAAGGGCCTGGATTGAGCAAGGAGAAACTCCCAACATTTGAAGACCAGGTAGTGAGGAGGAATTGGCAAAGGTGATCAAGGATCAGCTTGAAAGTCAGGAAGGAGGCAGATCAGGAGAGCATGATTAACAATGTCAGAAGCTGCTGAGAAGTAAAGGAAAACAAGGAATGGAAATAGCCTACTGGATTTAGCAATAGACAGCCAGTCCCTAGTGTGGGTTGTAACTATTATGAGACCTACTGATGTCCTGTTGGGGGTATTTGCTCTTAGAAAAACATCTGTTATGCCAACTGAAGATGCTGGTCACTCCAGCCAACCTTTCTTGTGGAATGTCTGACAAGATTTTGAGAAAATAAAGGTGAAAGGGATAAGATATAAATCTGGAAGGGACTTTAGAGTTATTGTCTAGTCCAGCATTTTTTATTTTATTACTAAGGAAACTGAGCTCTGGAAAGATGGAATGAAATCTTCCTATTCCAAACAAGCCAAGTAAGGATTTTGAATCTTCCCAGGAATCTTTCCCCTGATTGCACACCTCTATGACAGAACAAGCTAAACGAGAAACGTGGCTCCATTTCTTATTAGTTGTGAGACTTTAGGCAAGTTGCTTAATCTTTCTAAGCCAGTTTTTCTGGCTTTAAAGTGGGTATAATATAGTTGTTGGCAGGATAAAATAAGATAGTCTAAAAGATAATGGTGATGGTTGTACAACATGGTGAACTTAATCCCACTGAATTGTACATGTAAAAACTGGTGAATTGGCAAATGTTTTGTTATATATATTTTAACCACAATAAAAAATATTATTAAAAAAAAAAAGTCTATATAAAGCTCATAGCAGAGTGCATGTTGTTGTTAGGTGCTGTCAGTTGAGTTCCGACTCATAGCCACCCTGTGTACGAAAGCATGAAACACTGCCTGGTCCTGCCCCATCCTCACAATTGTTGCTATATTTGAGCCCATTGTTGCAGCCACTGTGTCAGTCCATTGCATTGAGGGTCTTCCTTTTTTTTCTGACCGTCTCCTTTACCAAGCATGATGTCCTTCTCCAGGGACTGGTCCCTCCTGATCACACGCCCAAAGTTGAGACGAAGTCTCGCCATTCTTGCTTCTAAGGAGCATTCTGGCTGTACTTCTTCCAAGCCAGATTTGTTTGTTCTTCTGGCAGTGCGTGGTATAGTCAATATTCTTCGCCAGTGCAGTAATTCAAAGGCATCAATTCTTCTTTGGTCTTATTCATTGTCCAGCTTTCCCATGCATATGAGGTGATTGAAAATACCATGGCTTGGGCCAGGTGC